GTATTGTCTCGACACTCGTCTAACGTGACACCGATCGAATGGCGGGAAAGCGAACTACGGCAGCAACGGGGCTTCCACTATGCCCTAAGCGCCGAGATTGTGGGAGCGAGAGGGTCCCTGCTACCACCCATGGGTAGCGCTGAGTATTCCTAAAGGAAGAACTCAGTAACCTTTTTTATCGTGAACCGTGCCTTTAACAATAACTTCACGGCTTGCAATCAGTCACCTTCTCCCCTAACTCAAAGAGATATTCCTTAATAACGTCTCCCAATTTTTCTTGTGTTCTTGGCTAACATTTCCGCTGAGCTTCAAAATCCGATAACTTTCCCAATGTGTAATCTTGCGATCTTATCAGCACTCAAAGCATGTACTTTACCGGATAAAATAAAAAAGTAGTCAAGCAAGTTTTTGAAAATGTGATACGCTCCATGAAAGATTGCAGATGTATTCTGGAGGACGTTCGCTTTACAATTTCATAACCACTCGAAAGGGAGAGGGGAAATCTATGGAAAAGTCTAAGGAAAAGTCGACTGAAAAGTCTACACAAAAGTCAGATGAAGAGAAAAATGCGGTACGCGGATGTCATTATGATCATCTACGTCTCTTTTTAATTTAGATATTATTTTATTTAGGACGAATTGAGGGTACAGTATCTCACAGATAAAGATGTAAGTTTCACTTTTCGGTCTCCCAATTTTAACTGATAGTTAGCTGAGGATAATAGATAATCGCGTATATTCGATTATAAAACTCTATTTCACACGATCATTTCCAACGCGTAAATTCCTTAATTCCATGAAAAATTGATTTTCAGTAATATTCAAAATTCACGGTTGCTGCAAAAAACAAAAAATGAGGGAGCCAAAGTCGAAGCTCTCAATTTTGATCCCTAAAACTTTATCTAGCTATCGTGAAATAAGCTTTTGAACACCTAATGATAGAACTCTTGAGAACAGAACGTTACAAGAACGAAGCTACAAGCTAACCACCACTGAAATGGTAAAGTGAGATGCAGATTGGATCGTAATTCTAGGTAGTCAAACTAGAGAGCCCCTAATGATGGGGAGTCGGGCAGTAGGAACGTTTTGAAAATCGATCCGCCGCATGCGACTGTCGCGGACCATTTGCCTCGTTATAACAATTCTAGCATTCTTCATACAGCTCAATCGCTATGCGATTATTACTTAAGGCATGATTCTAGAATCAATTCTTTTGCTCTTTAATTCCTTACTTGCTGCATCCTGATACATTCCTTCGCACGCGGCGCCTCTCGTCGCGACGCGATAATTTCATTCCTACTGTACCACACCCCTAATAATGTCTCCAGCAAATTTGACATGGTTGAAATTGGAAAATCCACTCCACTCCAACAAAGGAACCATTCACTCCCTTTCTTGACGTAGCCTGGATTTTGCTAGGGTTAGTTGTCTGATATCCGGAGGAAACTCAAACATCGAATAACCGTATAAGGTTGAGGATAGTTCTGATACGTTCTCAATTGCTTCTACTGCTCTGGACGTGATTCAAGTTTGTGGCGCATATTTAGCCCATTGAGAGGATATAGACAATTTCATGGCGATTTCCGTGAAAGTTTGTAATACTCTAACCATCTTTTGCCTGATATTAATTTGTTTTTCTATTTTTTAGATTGCCGCTAACTTAGAAGATTGCTTCAAAGCTTTTGAAGAAAAAAATATGAAAGATTTGAGAGCCGCTTGTCAGCTGTTAGGCAAGAAACGAAATGTCAAAAACAAGGCTGTGCGTGCATCAAAGAAGTTAGTTCTCACGACGTTTTTTCATACCACATTCAACTCTGTCTTAGGTTCCCAATGCCAAAACCAAAAACTAAGTCTTCTGCGTCGTGATCTGATTGAGTCAACCATACCGACTGTTTAAAATTTCGTATTTCGTTATCTGGTTCACTCTCTTTATTTCGAAAGAATATTTCTACCGTGATGAGCCCACCGCTCTGTGATCTCAATGCACTATTAGCACTATTCCACTGTGAACATGAAGAGTCACATAAATACTTATATACACACACAATTACACATATACCTACACACATACACAAGTATGAACATACATACACACTTTTCTCTAATAAGTAAGCCCCATGCTCACCCTGGGATAGCCCTTCCAGTTTCCGTATACTTGACCCTACCTCAGAGCTTGGCAGGATTCGGTCGCATTCTCTTGAATCTGTGTGGACTTATGAGCCGTGATGAGCTTATATAGCATTTCCGCGTGTCGGTCAACTTGTGTCGGTCCTATCATTGCCATGGCAAAGGGTTGTAAAGGTATGTAGACACAGGGCCGGGTAGGGCTGCAGGTCCCGTGTTAGACGGAGCTTCACATGGGAAGCTAGTCCCAAGTGTTGCTGCGGAGGCAGTAACATCTATAGGAAACGGCGAAGGAGTACCACAGAAAGCTAACAGTACCGCGTGGCAGAGGTAGTCGAGCACTGGCGACCGTTCATAAGACCCCGGCAAAAGACAATCCGATTGCCACTCGAGTAATCCACCGATACAATGGGAGCTCCCAGACAGCCACAGCCGGATTGACAGAAGGTTTTCTTTGGCTTGTTAGTTGGCTCAGATCAATGTACGTCTGCGTTAGGAAACTCAAAGAACGGGAAGGATTGAATCTACGATAGATGACTGTCACTGAGATCGAGAAGAATTGGGACCGACAAAATGGGCATAAGCGTCATCAAATCTTGACTATCTATTGTGTTACTCTGCTCACACAAAGTTCTTGTTGGATGTTGTATCATTTAAAAGGAAAAGGCAACTGCCATGAGCAAAATGTTCAAGTTAGTTACGAGAATTAAGGAGCCTAGCGTGAGCACAGCGTCCCGACTAGATCTCGAATTTATGACAAAAACAAAATTTTATAATTGAATGGGCGGTTGTGGTGTAGCGGCAAGTGGCGCACCTCACACCCGCATGGTCACGGGTTCGAATGTCGGATCGGTATTCGCCTAAGCCAACCAAGCCTTCGTTCCCTCCGGGATCGGTTAATTGGTACCAGACTCGTTTGGGGAATAAAAGCATCGACTTTTACATCGGCTGACCATCGCAAATTATAGTATAGGCCACATACGCATTCAATACGTCACAACGATTCTGAATGGATGTCGAAGGCGAGGGCGCATCCCCCGGAGCCGTGAACGATCAACACCTGAAGACTTTGTCCTTCATTTTACCATTCATGAATGAATGAATTTGAAGTAATGAAATCGTATAAGCAAATGTATCTCTTTTCTTATTACTTCTTAACGCTTGATAGTGAGACCTCTATTAGGCAGTTTCAGAGCTCCAGATAATCAAGCTCTCAAAGAAAAGGCTGATGTGGCAAATGCTGAGTACGATACTCAATTAGGAATCGTAACCGAAATGCTAAAGAAAATTCCCGAATACGACAAAATACATCAGGATATTTTTGAACAAGCATTACGCTATTTTGCTACAGCTTTCTAACATTTGAGCATAATTTATAAAAGGCAGTAACAATAAACATATACCTATAAAAAAATTCCTTTAATTGGCTACAGTTTCAACCAAGTGAACGAAGTAGCATACTCCAAGCAACAGCTTGATGTACTCATACTCCTCAATGCTTTCTAAGGTATTTTTGATTGGCAATGACGTTTTTTGAACTCGAATCTTTCTCCAAAGTACAGTACCTTTTCTGATCTTGTCACGTACCATTGAAAAGCATGCCTTTGAACCGAGAAAGGATTTTTGCTCGAAGAATGATCATGGGTTGTCCGCTCACCCTCTGGCAATTACTCCAAAACTGATCCTTTCCCTGGCCCACTTCTTCATTCTCTCCCGCAGAGTCCACTGTTTCTGTTGTTCTCCATTTTATTCCATATGCGGCGTTTTTTGCTGACATCTTGATTTCGGTCGCCACCTCCTCTTTGGAGCACCTAGTGGTCACCTACTGTGGCTTCGAATCCTTGCTTTATTTCATTGATGATCCTCTAGCCCTCTCAGTAAGTGCACTTAACGACACAAGCGCTGTTCCCTCATCTCCAGCTGGTGCGATTTTTTGCATGACCATCCTGACTTGTACATCTCTCAATCGGCTCACGCCGCCCATCGAAAGCCTTTCTAAGCACCCTCATTTCTGCAAAGTACAGTTAACACTCAAATTTTTGCTTACACACCAGCACCCCATCGCTAAGCAGCCTTCACAGCCTGATTCACGCTGCCGTGGGCAGCTAGATCTTTTTGTAGGTACCAAAAGTTTCAGAACTTTCGATGCACTCCACAAACAGTCTGCGATTAGCTCTGTCATCGGTATCACCTGTCGTCTCGTCGATCGTTGACTTTCTCGAGCGGGCGTCAGTAACGTCTCCATTCGTCCCTCTCATGAACCAGAGTGGACTAGTGAATCGCCCTCGCTTCAGGGACACGGGTTCAACACTCCTTTCGTTCAGAGCCTAGCTCTTTGGAACTGAGCAACTTGGTCTTTTCTTTTACATTTCGCCAGAGTCCACTCTCCGTCACCCTACATCACTATAAGAGCGATGCCATCAATGAAGGGGATGGCTTCCAGTGGTTTATCCAGGAGTTCTTTCGCAAGACATCCGGTATTGATTAAATGAGGGACAGTCTCTTAATTGATCCCTGGTATACCCCAACCTGACGTCTTCTACTATATTCTTGTAAAGTCGTAAAGATGCGTAGTTGTTCTGGACCCATCGTAAATGTATTTGCACAGATAGTTCAGGTGTTCTGAAACTTTCGTTTTCAGAGCACTCTCCAGAATAGTTGTCGCGGGAGATGGTCGGCAGAGTTCTAAACATCAATTTAGGCTAGGTAGTAAGATCTACCTTTTCTCTATACTTCTCCACAGCTTGCTCGG